GAAACAAAGCTAGCAGTGATTCGGTGCTGGCTTTGCTGGTTGTGTAAGCAGAGAGCATGACTAAAACGTGAGCACCGTGGGTATCTCTTGCAGCAGAGCGGTGCCATACGGCCTCTCAGTGGCTATCTCTTAGGGTTGTCTGTGTCAAAGAACCTGAACTTAAGTCAGATTTGCTTTGTCATCCTGACTTTGGCTCTTGGCACTTTCAATTTCTCTTTAGTTTCTGGAAGCTTCTTTTTAATTCTCTAGTGGGAAAGGCAAGATGTATCTGAATGTGCAAAAGGGCTCACCCCAAACAAAGCCCGCTGCACATTGATCAAAACGGCAGGAGCAGGAAGGTGGGTTTGTGGATATCTGATCACAAAAGGGTGGCAAATCTGTTTTTCAGCATGTGGTGTTCTTTAGTTAGTTTTTAACTAAATGCTGCAGAGGGCTGGAGTTGTTTCCCAATGGCAAAGCAAGCAATGAAATATGACACAGGGAGGGGAAGAGAGTTGGCAGAGGGCCTATGTGCACAAATAGCCCACTACCTTTTGAAGCGTATTTGCAGCCAAGCAAACAAAAAACAGTGCAGGCTGCTTTACAAAGAATTACAGTAGAAATCTGCCCCTTGGAACTTTTTTTTTCCTCTCAATGTCAATAAAACGTCATTACTACTGATTCCAGAATCATAACTCACAAGATGTTGTGGTCTGTCTGAAAATGTATTTATGTAGTAGGGGATTAGGAAGAGAAAGAGCTGTATTGCTGTCTTCTGTAGCTCTTGGAATACTTTTTGCCTTGGATTGCTGTAATACAGGAAGAAATTGTAGTGAAAACTAAACTCTAGATCATAGTGTTAGCTGGTTGAGCGAACAGGAGTCTCTTGGCACAGCCCTGTTGTGAGTTATGTAAATCTTGTGCAGTGTATAAGCAACAGGCGGTTGGTGACGTAAAACTGAGCATTTGTCTCTATTTATTGGCTAATGTGACATGCACCCTTCCTGTAGCATTTGACTGAGCTGGCTGTATTAAATATAGCCCTGACACTCCTAAGTAGAAAATGCCTCAAGCTGAATAATGGCTTCTTGGTCTGAAATTCATTGTTCTAAACATGGAAATCTTACACGGTGGCTCTTTTGTCCCCCCTTCGTAGCAAAGTCCGTTCTGTGTCGATGGCGAAAGGTCTCACTGTAAGCCTCAGTTTGCTAAATTTGCCAATCGATCACCGTGGCCATGTTGTGCAGGACATTCCTCCAGTGCCTCCTACCGCACTGGCTGTGCTCTGGGAGACTTAGCAGGATGTCAGTAACTCCTGTGGTGATTATCTTCTGTCATTTGTGATGGATTACCAAACTGATACATCTGTTGTTTAGGTCCTCTCCCAGTCGACCCCATCGCGGGTGGCTCACAGATCTGCCTAATACTGCTATTACACCCTTTGACCCAAGCTCCAGTGCTATTAGCTACTACACTTTGGGTCCCCTGTGTTTTCTGCAAGGAGAAAGCGTGATACTTCTTCCAAAATCATTCTGATTTTATCTAGAATGTCTGATTTTATTTTTTTTTTCCTTGAACACTGTAGGAATTGGACAGGAGGCAGTTTCTTTGCTCACCGTTTCGAGCCTCTTTCCAGCTGGCAAGCAGTCCGAAAAGCCCTATGTTTGCTCTTTCTCAGGGTCATGCTGCAAATGTTTCTCTTGCTTTCACCTTGGCTTTCTGGCTTTGGTTTAGACACATGACACTCCACCACATAATACAAACCCTCAATATGTCACTGTACCTATATAATGCAGCTTCTGACTCGCCTTCTGCATGGTTTTCATTTAGGTGGTGGTTCCCAGTTCTTGAAGGTTTTTTTTTCTATCCTGCTCAAAAAAGCAACACAAATTTTTGTAATCATGAAAGAAAAGCAGTTATTATGCCCATTGCTTTTGGTGAGATTTTACTCATCTCCATTCTCACAGCACCTACTCACAACATGTAAATTAGGGCCACAACCCCACAGACATGCGTAAACAGAGGAATTACATGACTTGCCAAACACTTACATAATAACTTAATAGTATATCGTAGAACGGCAGTTAAGACTCATGAATCCTCTTCCTGTTTGACTGCTCCTCTTTTCAAATTAATTATCATATGCGTTTCAGCTACACCACAACTCAGGAATCAATAGCATTTATGGCTTTCTGAACGTCCTTAATATATCACAGACTTCCACTGTCATTTGTCTTCATTCAGTAAGAACTTTTGACTCAGATGGTTTATAAGTTCCTTTGAGCTGTGACTATCCAGAGCTGAGCAGGCACTTCAGTGATTAATAAATAGTCTTAGAGTACTTGGGGCTCATACATGACCATATGTTTCAAAAGCAGCAAGGCTTGAGTTATTATCTGTAGCTACTGATGCCCTTTGGCCCTGAGAGTTATCATAAGAGTGTTCTTTGTGTTTTGTTCATCTTGTGCTCCTTTGGACCTTTTGTGCCAAAATAAAATGGAGAGGTTCAGTCCTTCTGAAATTAGCTCTGGAAACAAGGCTAGTATAAAAAAACAGCCCTGTTGTTTACATGCAGCTGTGTAGCCCTTCCCTCAGTATCTCTTGAACTTTTTGGCAAATTTCGTAAAGACCTAATGGGGTAGAGGTCTCCAAGACTCTAAGTTCCAAGATTTCCAGTGAAAATAAGAAGCAGAGTAGAAAAGACGTCTAAAATAGTGTGCCTGGCAAGTAAAATGCTGTACTTTGAGCTGTGTTATCTAGGAGAATCCATGTGTGATAGAGATAAAAGCTTTTAAAAAATGTGAGCAGCAGAGCTAATATAGTCTGGACAATATTTTTGCTTAACTGTTTAGGATGAGATATGTAAACCTGTGAAAAGGACCTGTACTTTAGGTTGTAACCTGCTTTCTTGCTTTCTAGGAATCTACAAGCCGCCATTGGAGCCTACTATGATTTCGAGAGTCCAAATATCAATGTACCCTCCATGTCCTTTGTTGAAGATGTCACCATAGGTGAAGGAGAGTCCATCCCTCCTGATACCCAGTTTACAAAAACATGGAGGATACAAAACACAGGTAAGGCTTTTAGGCTGTAGCAAAACCCGTGTAGCGTGTATTATGTGATAGGATGGCAGCTCTAATGGAAGAGATGCTGGCTGAAGGCAGTAGGTTCGTGTGCAGTTAACTTGGAATAGAGCCACCCTGTTACTCAAGGAGGTAGCCTGCCAACCTGTGTGTATTCCCCTTCTTCTGTCAGCACAAACATTTTGTGGCGAGATGCACAGCTCGGTCAGTTCCCCAGTCTTGTTCCTTGTGCCACCACACAAACCAAAGCTCTAGGAAACTTCTGTAGGAAGAGGCAGGTGAAAGAAATTGAAGTGCAAAGTTTTGGTGGTTTTGTTTTGGGGTTTTTTGTTTGTTTTTAATGGAAGTAGTTGGATCTGAAAATAGAGTAGGAATCCTTAGCTAGTCATGTTTCTGATCACTTGATGCAAACAAGTGGAATACATTTTTAAGTCAATGAAGAGATCCCTTTTAATCTCAAAGCCTTTTAGCTCATGACCAGCTTGTATATTACCACTACCCTTCATGCACTATTTCTCTGAATGTCCCTGTCGTTTGGTCATTTGCCTCTCTATAGAACTGTGTTCTCTGTGGAGGCAGTGATGCAATGATCTAACTCCGAGAAGAGGGTAAGGTGGCAAGGGTAAAGTACCCTTTACTTTTTAACACACCTTTGACAGAATTGCTTTTTCATACTCTGAGAGGATGCAAGGCTGGAGGGACCACATTCCAGTATGAAATAAGGCAAAAACAGTGAGTGGAATCCAGGAAGTGAGACTGGGCAAAATACATTCTCAGAGCTTGATCTGTTGGGATGCAGTCAGAGAGAAAAATGAGATCCATGGATGCAAAGCGGAATACCTTGTCTTCAAGTGTTACAATGACAGGATGTTGCATGAATGTTTAAGCTGTGTGTCTGAATTTAATTGACCTGCTTGCACTTTTGTGAAGAAGAATGATAGCACAACAAGGTATAATATAATGAATCATCATGAGTAAAGTTCAGCTGTGTTAGTATTTCTCCTTGTAAATAACTGCAGTACTTGACTGCTGTACAGATTTGTGCTGAATATCAAAGTGTAACTAAGAGACTAAAACCATACTAAAAATCTAGGAGTATTTCATCAGGACATGAGAGGTGAGAAGGCGGGGGAGGGGGTGTTTAAGAACACTGATTTATAAAGATGGTATTCTAGAGAAAGGGCTTAATTATTTCAGTTTACTTTTTCTGCCTCTATTTGTTTGACTTAGTACAATGGAAAGGTGACACGTATAGCTTGCTTAAACTCCAGTAATATGAAAAATTGACTGGCAATTTTTTTATAACTGTGTCTCAAATACCATTCTTACAAATGTAGAGAGTTTGACAGATCTTGTTTCTCCACTATTAGTCATAACACACACAAATTAAATTACTACATCCCTATCTTGCTCCTTTCTGACTCCTTCCTCTCTTGTTCCTTTGATGTACTCTTTCCTGCATGCAAATTCAGCCTTAATTTAACATCCTAGTTCAAGCAATGTTTCATTGTTCTTGGAATGTTTGACCTTCTGAAATCCATGAGTCTTCTAAAATAAGGAAAGGGAGTTAATCTTGACTTATGAGTTCCTGGCAAGGCCAACATTTGTTTTGGCTTCTGTGTGGGTTAAAGCCCGACTTCTTAAAAAGTACATCTGTACTCTAACAGTGGTGCTGGAGGCCAGATCTTGTTAAAACCATGCTGTTGAGGCATGTTTAAGTTAAATGCAACTCCACATACTGTGTTATGACTCTGCGATTTAAGGAGGACAGTAGCATTTAAAACCATTTTATGGTTTAATGAAGGTATAATATCAAAGGACTATAGTGTTTCCAGATAATATCTGCTTGTTAGGTAGATAACTGAAGCAAAGCCAAGTTTTTTAACAGCTCTACGGGAACCCTTGATTAAATGACTTCAGTTCTAGAACATGAAATACCTGAGGCATGTGTCACCGAAGCGTTTACTGTCTTGACGAGTGACAAGCAGAGCTCTGAGAGATTGTCAGTTTTCAGCGTGCAAGCAGTAAGCTAGGTTCAGTCAGGTTTTCATATGTGTTATTAACAACTAATACCGTGCTCTACCTTCCAGGATGGTGCTTGGCTTGTCTGCCAAAAGACCAGTTTGTATAGTAGAACCATTGCTGAAGGAGCAGCAGGATTTAACAGACTTATTTCCTCTTCCCACTCTAACCCCAGCTGCTGCTGGCTTTGCAGGACATTTACTACAATTTATCATCTCCTGAGAGATGAGTGTACTGAAATAGAATGACATAATCATCATTTCATTTTATGGGGCTTATCAGTTGCAGCATTCTAGGCACCTTGCAAGCCTAAAGCCATTAAAACAGATAAAAATCACATAAATTATTTAAACTGAACCATGTTGCTGGACTGCCAGCCTTTTCAGATGAGACTTCATACTCAACTCCTACATGCCGTAGTCTGAGGTCAGCTAGTCACTCGGCTCCTCTTTCAAAGACCTCCCTATCTCAGCACTGTTTCCAACTGTAGTGATATATCCCCCACTCCGGGTATCCCACATTACTTGTTCACATCATGCTTTCCCTGCTAGATTGTGAATTCCACAAATGAGGACTTGACTAGAAAACCAGCCCCTGCCATGTCTTCACTGAAGTATCCACAGGGATTAAATTAGCAGGCAAGCTGTTGCAAAGGATGGTCTTTGGGGTAACCTAAGGTCAGATCAGCATCCACTATTCTTGTCTCAGACTAGACATAGAGTGGTTCCAAGCTTCTTGGTGGTTCAGGCTTTCCTTAGCTGTTTCCACCTACCTCAACCAAGCAGAAGATATGCTCAAAGTTGTTGGCTTAGTCATGTCACATTACTGGGGAAGAAGCAAAAGAAAATTCTGCTAAACTGCTTTTTGTCTGCCCCAGTACTTGTTATCTTTGGCGGAGATGGCTGTGCTTGTCTGCAGTAACTGTTTTCTGTATCTCTACAGATTGCCAGGTCACACTGTCAGTCCCAGTATCTGCAGTCTAAACATTGATCTCCACAAATAAATCATATGTTCACAATCCTTTCCACCTTTGCACAAGGCTGAGAGAAGGGTTGGTGCAAAAAGGGAAATAAACCCATTTAGAAAATAGTACTAGCTCTTCAATTATAGTTCAAACTACTAGTTCCTCCTGAGACTGCTAACAGGCTCAAAAAAGAATGAATCCCTGAAAGAGAATGTTTCCAGCACTTTGTATTAATAACACGTATTTTGATGTCGCAAGGCTCAGGAGTTCTATGTAGGGAGGCAGAAAGAAATGGGGGAGGGAACCCACCTAAGTCTGACCTCGTCTTCGTCTCTAGCATTGGTAAAATATATGTGCATGTCGGTTATGTTGATTTTTTTGCAGCTGTTACACTGTGACACTGAGAATTTTTCTGTGTAAAGAAGACCTAGAGATTATTTAAATAGAAATATAAATTGTCCTGCTGGTCTCTAAATGGACCAGTTAAGCCTTGTCTGAAAACTGTATTCTTCTCAAGCATCCATTGCTGGCTGTGTTGTGTGTATCTTGGTATTCCTTTGACTGTTCAACAATTGCATGACTGTTTTAATAAGCGTGTTTCATCCAGTCTTACACAAACAGACACAAAGCTTTTCTTGGTGCACTGTCAGTAATTCTTTCTTCTGTTTAATCCCAGGGACAGAGGCGTGGCCCCCGGGGGTTTGTCTGAAGTATGTCGGGGGAGACCAGTTTGGCCATGTAAACATGGTGATGGTCAGGTCCCTGGAGCCCCAGGAGATTGCAGACGTCAGCGTTCAGATGTGCAGCCCCAGTTTTGTATCAGGGACAGTGGCGAATGTGCACTGCCACGGGACTCTATTACGGAGGTGAGTGATCCCTTTTCCGGCACTTCAGGATCTTCTTTGTGCTATTCCCACCGCAGACAAAATGGACGCTCCTGGCCCCTTGCAGATGCTCTCCTGATAACCGAATGGTGAAGGTAGAGGTCTGCCAGCTCTGAGACTAAATATAGAAAATAGAATAGAGAAAACATCAAGAGAGCTGCTTTGTTGTCTTGGTCAGTGCAGAACTGTTTTCTAAACACTGGAACAAATTGCAGATTACAGAAAGCTCTGAAAAACAAAGGGATTTGCACAGTTCTCCTGGATTTTTTCTCTTTCCCAGTCGGTCCTTGTCGGGATTCTTTCCCAGTTTTCCAGTGCTGAACATCGAATTACATATGGGCATAAAATGTATTTAAATGGTGAAAACCTCATCTGAGAAGTTCAGTTAAGGCCCAGGTTTTAATAGTGTAACTTGGTGCATCTACTGTGAACCGTTTTTCTGTGTTTAAAAACCACTTTTTGATATTTCGCCTGGTGCCTCAGTCTGAGCCACCAACATCTTCATTCATTTGGAGTCTTTCAGTCATTTTTAGCCAGCCTTAGTTTATACTGAGAACATCTTTGTGTCTGTTTTAGCAGTTGGGAGTATCCCAAGTTACATGGGTTTGAGTGAGAGATGTTAGCACTCAGAGTCAAAAATAACTCTGCTCAGAAGTACAGGGTTTTTGGCGGAATTGTCAGTAAACGTATGACTCTCTGGCGTCAAAAGTGGATGTAACTTGTCCCTGAAGAAAGGGCATAAATGCCTTCGCGCAGGTGGAAAGGCCTGTTCAGCTTGCATTGCCTGCCACGGGCCTGTGTGTTTATAAAGCCAAGGTTTTCCCAGCTGCTGACAGTTCAAGATCTTACTAAACTTCCTGAAATGGCACATTTTGAAAGAAAACGATCTACAAATTAAAATCCCTGTGGCTACTGAGCTTCGAGTCGAAGGTGCCCTTCCCCTGCGATGTAATTAATGGCTTCTATGCTAGTTATCCCCCAGAGTTAGGCCCAACAGCTGCGTGAGGGCCTGGCAAGTGGCCGGGGCTGTCGCCCGGTGGCTTCTCACGCCGGCACGGATTTGATAGCGCCGGGGCGAGCGGCCCGGCC